ACAGGAAATACCCACAAAACACCAAATGGTTTAGAAAATTCAGTTAAAAAGGTCTGTGCAACAACTTCCTATATTTGATAGGAGCTAGATCAGGTAGGAATACCAAGCAGTTGCACAGTTGCATTTTCTGGCAGATAACTGCATGGCAGAAAAGGTTTTCTCTTAATTGAAGCTGCCCACAGCTTCTAACCATGAGACAGTCATTTAGTTTAAGTGGCTGTTGTATTCATGCAGGAAAACCTCTAATAATTTAAAAATTCTAAAACCATCTCCTGATTGAGTGAAAGACCATTCATCATTCTATCTCTGTAAAACTACTAGGACTTCTGCTTGGCATAGAAACAGCCTGAGTCCTGAGCTAGTTAGGACTTTTCTGACACAGCTTTTACAAGGAAAATTCCAGGTAAATCAAACTATTCATGGGAAAATACTAGGGAGAACTTTTACTAAGAAAATCATTGTGGTTTGCTGAGCACATGTGCTTTTGCTTTTGGTGTTAGCCACTCCCAGACTTTGCGGGAGCATCTGTATAAGGTCTTTACAGACATCAACATAATTGTTTAATCTGAGCAACTAGTGCAAGAAAAATAATTTGGATGATTAAGTGAAAATTTGCTTCAGAGATTCATTTGTCTGAGAGATGAGGACCAAACTGTGAGTTTCACTGAGCAGACAAGAAGCAAATATATTACAATTTTAGATGCCCGCAAAGGAAAAATAAAAAAAAAAACCCTGATTCTTACCAAATTGGTTACATTATCTTAAAGTGGGTTACCCCCACTTCAGCAGGCAGAAGCTGACAAATTTCATTTTGTACAGAAGTTATATCACAACACAAGCAAGAACATTTAAGCATAAAAATAGAGAGGATGCTACCGCCCACATCATTCTTTGTGGTTTAATCAAGGTTGATTCACGGTCACACTCTGTTCCAACCCAAGCCCTAGTGTACATGTAATTACAGATTAATGAGATACTGTAAGAGATGTTGCTGTGATTTAAGGTGGGCATTTCTTAGGTGAACTTTCTCAGAGGAAGATGCTGTGACAAACTAGCAATTTAATTTAAAATAATTTAGCAATTAAAGGCTAAATAGAGCAACTGCACTCAAGCAGATTTAGGGTCTTGTCTTTTCAGACTACCAGCTAGAGACATCAGCTATCACCAGAAAAAGTATTTATTGCTGTGTTGCCTCTCTAGTATACAATTCTGTACTCCTTCTGTACAGATCTTCTCAAATAATTATAAATTTCTTTTGCACAGATATGTGAACAAATTGACCTTGCAGACTGGCAAAAGCCCCCTCCTTCCTGAATGACAGTCAGCCAACACAACCTACGTAAAGCCTCAATATTCCTTGCTGTTGCAGGTTCTTCATTCCCATGGCTCACAGGAATTTCCCAGGCTTATAGGAGAAGCATTCCACATGGATGTTCTGCCAAATCAAGCTAAGGTGCTGAGCACACATTTTCAACACAACAGGCACAGTACAAACAGCAGTCTTAGACTTTCACACCCACTATTGTGCTAAGCTTTTAAATAAAAGACTGTAAATGTAAGCATATGCAAGGTGACAACAGTGCTGAAGAACGAGGTCTATTAAACAAAATTGTTGCACATAAGAAAAAAAGCTTTGTTTTCATCACACCACATTTGCCTGTTAGGCACAGAGAATATTTGACTATGATAGGTTTATTCTAAGTGTTTTCACTTGAAGACCACAAATCTCTTCAAACATTTGAAAGATAAAACACCACTTTCACTGTTTTAACTTTGGACTACCTGTCACCACAAAACCTGCTACTCAGTAGGAGAAAATAGCTTTAAACAAGTCAGTAACTGTTTAGAGCAAAATATATCTGCCATCTTGTGGGGGCTTGTGGCATGGAGTGCGTTCCTCTGTAGAGGAGGGTAACAAATTACAGAGGATAATGAAGATGCTCATAATGCCTAACTTTTCCTGGACTGAGGGAGTAAAAGAGAAAGTTGAAACTGTGACAGAATTCCAAAGGTCAATTTATTACACAAAGAGGAATGAACCAAGGTGATGCCACACAGAGGTATGATAACCTAAGTAAAGAAATGTGGTTAAATCCAGAGAGCAGTTCATGCTGTTCACTACTTGTAGCACTTCTGATGATCCACTAGGAAAGGACAGAGTTGTCATTCCATAATTTGTCACAAACACACACAGGCAAGAGAAGAGACAAAAACAGAGAAGAAAAATGTTGGGCACCTGATGCTTTAGGATTTCCAAAGGCAGCCTCTATCACCCCAGTCATTTTTCACTCTAACTGGAATCTTTCAACATTTGTAAAACTGAAAATAGTACGCTCAATATGTCCTCAACTCAGTATAAAGTGTTTCCAAGTTGAAAACAGACCGCTGGGATAAAGCAAAATGAAAAAAAGATGTGAGAAACCAAATAATGTGGCATCACTCCATTTATCATCCCATTATAGTGAAAAATACACAACTTGTTAGAAACATCAGGGGACAAACACGAAAGAAATCCTGCATACAAAAAAACCCAAAAAACAGTAAGAAAACATTGGACTGTAGAAGCCTATTTCATTCTGCAAGTTTGTTTTCCTTTTAACACACACAAGTCAGCCTTACTGTGAAACTATCATCTGCTTTTCTGAAACTATCATCTGCTTTTCAAAACTCTTTATACTTCAGCACTGTATTTTCAAAATGCCATCAATAATTGTTTTCAGGACATGATTTCAACACAAGAACTCAATATCATTTGAATAAAACAAAAGCTTATCTAGCTCAACTTATGCAATGAGCTTCAAGACTTTCCAACATACAACTAGTCAAAGCAGTACTCAATTATGGTATGAAATTTAAACCAGAAAAACAAGATTTGAGCCAGTTTTTAAGTATTATTTATACTAATTCATTAGGATCCTGTCCACTGCTTTGTCTAATTAAAAACTTGAAATTTACATTTCTGCAAAACTACAATAAATGAATTTGTCAGCTACAGCCTGTGCTGTCTTGACCTATTCATATAAAATCAATTGCAAGCAAAAATAATAGAATCCAATCAGACACTAGTTACCAGCATAGCAGGAAGGCAAGGCTAGAAAAATAAGTCAATAGTGGCAAGGCAAAACAGACTGTTCACCTGATGCTTGATCATATTCGCCATGATCATAATATCATGAAGTTATCATAACATCCACCGTGTTATATTCTTGAGGTGTTATACATTTTGCACATAAAAGTTAACTACAAGTTCCTCTATGAGCACCTGCTAACAGCTCACAAAAGAAAATCAGTCCACACAGCCAGCACTTCCACAAAATATGAAGCTAAATTAAATCTCTGGATCCAGCCCACTGTAATTTACAAGTCTTTACATTACAACAAATGACATGCCTTCTCTATTTTAATGCCATTTAAAATTGTATTTCATATTTTGTTTTACTAAACTTTTTTAAAAGCCTTGCTATTAAAGCAAATAAAAGGAAAGAACGAGGTCCTCAAATTCCTCTTTCTAATCTCTAGATTAAAGGCTGTGAATTGGTCTGATGAATGGTTGTGACCCAAATCAAATCTTGGGAAAGGTTCCCTATTGTGGCAAGGAACCTCACTAAGGGAAACAAACTGACTATTGGTCTCCTATCACAACTCTTAGACAATGATGTTTTTCTCTATATTTATCCATATTCCCTTGTTCTGTTTTACCAATCCTTTACTGCAAGAAAAGCAATACTTTCAAGCAGAATTAGAAGCTCTCATTTTTAAATAGCTGTTCCTTTCAGACAACAGAACAATCTTCAGAATACTTCCATTTCTAAACTAATAGTTATTCACTATAAAAAATACCTTTGCAAGTCTTGAAACTCCAGCTTCTTATTGAGGCTCTGACAGTCAAGCCTAAAATCAGTTTTAATTTAACTTTTTTAAAATGCTTTCTAGCACTGGTGACATTTTCCAGGATATTTCACAAATTCTCCATAGCAAGTTTCTCTGCTTTTAGTAATACTGCAAGATTAAGAAAACGATTATAATTTTCAGGTTCATAAATAACAATCAAGTATTCAACTTTTTTCCCCCAGGGGAATGAAATTATAAATAATTCAGTAGCCCTGCTATTATATTTCTGATTTCATAGGTCTAGTAAACTGACCCATGAACTTGGGGTGTTGTACATTCCCAGTCTTGGTAATGTAACTTTCAACACTTCAGTCAGTGGTCTTAGCTAAGGTAGTTCCTTAAATCACAGTATTTTTATTTAACAAAGGTCTTCTAAAAAAGCAAAATGAAGCTATGTATATTTTTTTTAAGATATGCACATTTATATTAAAACCTTTAACCTAAAATACTACTGTCATTATAAATTGTATGCATATTATAATGACTCAACCTCTCTCTTCTTATTTGAGGAACAGCCACCATTAAAAAACTCAAAATGAGTTAGTGTAGCAATGCCACCAGGAGCTCTTCAAACTTGGCTAGCTTATCTCCAAGTTTTGTTTGCCTCTATTGAGGAGTGAGAAATTACTATTTCCAAGGCAAGGGTAAAAAAAAAAAACCAAACAGGAAAGGGGCGAAAGAGACTCCTGTGTGCCTATAAAGACATTCTTAACAGCTCTGGTGTGAATATCCAGCTTTGAAGATGAACCTGCTTGAATAACTGCTTTGCTCTAATTATTGTATGGCTGTAGGACATTGTTAATTAAAGTGCAGTGTCTGGTTAAGGTAAATTAATTGACCTTTGCAGCAAAGGACAAAACAAATAATTTACTGCCTTAATTCTTCCCCCCTCAAACATGAGCAAAGCTGAAAGCAACTCTAAATAGAAAATCTGGAAGAAAAATAAGCCTTGTAATCTATAAAACATAACTAGAGATAATCTTGCACTTGATGGCAGGAAAGCTTCCACTCTGAACACCTTTAAAAGGTGCAGAGAAAGGAAGCAAGCTATGAAAGAAGACTCTGCTTATCTCATTTAAAACCACTGATGATTGCCTGATGGGTGGTACCTTCCCTTTCTGCTGTTTTTGGTTGCAGCCCAGCTTCCAAGCTGAAAATCCCATCTTCACTCCTCTCCCCCAAGAGAGTTATAACTGCTTTAAGTAGAAGGGTTTCAAACTGCTGGTGCTTCAGTCAGTTTAACGGAGTACAGGTTGACCCCAGCCACAGGAAAATATTGCCATGCAGTACACAAGCAAAAGACTATTAATTCATAATGCTAAGAAGAATAAATAAAACTATATATATGTATATATATATTTCAAAAGGAGTAATATTCTCCTGGTTAAGGGAATACAAAAGGTACCAATATGTTTAACCTATATTTAATATTCAGCATGTTTCATAATGTGTAGGCTTTGAAAATGAAATAATTTTCATTTGTGAAATATATATATATTATATATATAAAGAGTGAAGTACATAGAAATACCATCAAAAGCCAACAAGAATAATTAACTGACTTAAAAACCAAGGACCCCTGGCACTCCCAATTTTAAGGAACAGATATTCCAATTTATCTCCCTAATAACCCCTGAGTAGATAAGGGGAAAGTAAGGTACAGAAGAACCTGTTGGCATTTATACTTGGAAGAAAGCATATCCATTAACTGAGACACTGCTGCCCATAATAAGATTCCTAGTTCACCACAACTATAAATTTTTCTCACATGGAAAAGCTTTGGATGAATATTTTAGTTCACTCAGGAACAATTCCAGCTCTATGGGATTTCAAAGTAGTGCTCAAAGACAAATTAAATGCTTTGTGCACGATGAGAAAGTATTTGAGTGAAGGAAGCCTTCAACAGTTTCTGAAAAGCCACAGATTTTATCTTTACAGTTAATATAAATGTGGTTTTTCCCATCCTTAAGTGTTTAAATCATTCTTATAAACTGTGGCAAGCGAATTAATGTCACAAACCTGCAGCAAATGTACTTCACTTTTACACTCCGTTTTGATTATACTGCACACCGCCCTTTTTACAAGTGCGTCAGTATTACCAAAACCAAGCCCAAACAACAAAGAACCACTCATGAGACACACACCTCTTCAGTGAATACAAAAGAATGAGAGTTGACATATTCAAAATATAGTTCCAGAAAGCTTTGCAAATGCTTTTCTTGTGCCACATTATTCAGGCCCGTCTACACATTGGACAAAGTTGATCATTTTCTGAACTGCTTGCAAAACTTTGCTTAAGAGCCTGGGAAAAAAAATTGTTGAGAAAATAACCCTAAAAATAAAATTAAATAGAAATAAAAATTGCATTCTGAAAAAGCATCACAACTGCATTCACAAAAGTCTCCCACAGTGGGCCCACTGTATTGTCTGATGGAATTTGGCATTTTTCTCTAGAGCCAGTCAATAACAGGAACTCAATCATAAATGTCCTGCTTTCCGGTGAGTGCAGCAGCCTCAGCTGCACAGCCTAATGAGCCAGGGGCACACCAGTTTCAGCAACAGCTGGAAAAAAGTCCACCAGAGAAGGTTAAAAGTTTTTTGTTTGTTTTTAATAAACCCAGAATTCTTTCTTTGTTAAGCAAAGAAAAAAAAAAAAAAAAGCCCACAAAACCTCAAACAACCCACGCTCCTGATTCTCTCAATATGCAAAAAAAACCAGAAAAGAGCAGGGAGGAAGAGCAGCAGAGAAGAACAAAGAAGGGCAAAAAATGGGCAAAGAAGGGTGAGAAACAAAGAGAAGAATGGAAGTAAAGAAAGGCAGAGAGGAGTGAAGATAATCTGATGTAAAAGAAGGGCAAAGAAAAAACAAAGACATTAGTTCCAAGAAGTTCAAAGAACTTTAAAGAAAGTCCAGGAAGACCAGGGGTCATCCTTACTGCAGATAAAGCTCTTCTGCTAAGAGCTCTTGTACTTCGAGCACCACATGCAACTCTGGTGCAAGTTACCATGCTAACAGGAACATACTTCACTGATTTTGCAAACTATTAGTTTTTCAAACTGGAAAGAAACTGAAAACAGCTAGTTTTCCATTAGCCTAAAGACATTGCTACTATAAAAAAAAAAAAGTAAACACTTCGTAATATTTTCTCTTTAATAGTCTTCTTCTTCCTTTTTAACTTAACTGAGTTTTCACACAGTTCATTAAGAAGATTCCTTCAGTTATTGGCTTTTGATTCATGGGGAAAATGGAGTACTGTTGAAGGAGCAGTAATACATAGCTCACTCAATATATACCGTGTGTAAGACTCACTTAAGATCTGAATTAAGAAGCTCCCCCACCACAAAAAAAAAAAAGACTTGCTATAAATCTAAATAGCTAGAATTCTGACTCCTACTTAAAGTGAAAAATAATCAGTAACTTTAACATGTGCACAAGTTTTGGTATTAAAGATGTCATCTTAATTACAATTAAAGCACTGAGATCATTTCCTATGAAAAAGTTGCTCAGGTTTATTAGTTCAGTGGAGAGTTTTCAATCTCAATCTTAAACTGAGAATCAAGATTTAGAGCAAAGGCATTTTCTGTGGTTACACAAAGTCTAACTCACACTCAACATATTGCAGTCACTTGGTTCAACATAATAAATCTACAAGAAGTTTCTGAACAGTATCAAAACTGATTAGACACCTGTACACACACCTCATTTCATTTAGATTAGAAATGCCTGTAGCAGCCCAGAGCCCTCAAATATTTGTGTGGCTAAAATCTGTGCTCATTTAAAACAAGATCATTTTTGACTGACACCTTTTTGATTAGGTTGAGGTCTCTATTTCACATATGTCAGCTTGCAGTGATTGTTGAGAGGGGTTCAAATCCCCATCTCCATCTGCACAGTTACAGTGAAATAAGCGATGGCCACCCTAAATGTTAATTTTAACCTAAAAAAGTAAGGTTTTTGTTTTGTTACTAAGATGTAACTGAAAGCTGGGTATATTTGTGGGTGAAGACAAGTCCATACCTCACATTTCATTGAGGTTGATCCCTTCAGGCTCCCTCCATCCTCCCACTTGACATTGGCCCAGTACTCGGAACAACACAGCTCCATCCACTTCTGGCAGGGTAAGTTTCCAGACAGGGGCATTTGTCTTACCACAGTGCTCTGGAGCAAAACATTGTACTTGCAGCCCAAACAACACCACATGCTACAACCTCATGGGAAACAGATACCAGAAGACAACATGCAAGGGAGAAAGACTCGGTAGATCACTGCCCCCAAACTGGGACTGTCTTGCTGATCAAGGCTCTCCAAGGAAGCACAAAGGCTACAATTTCCTTTCTCAAGAGAAGAGGGAAAGAATAAAGTGCATGGACCAAGCTGCATTTAATACTTCCCTCAATGATAAGAGGATGAGAATGAAGTCAGGCAAGCTGAGGGAGAAAGCCTCAGCTAGATACAACATCCACCTTATGGAGGAAGAAGCGCACCTCAGTTGGAGACTGCTGGAAAAGAGGTTCCACAAATTTTGGAGGCAGAGAAAAGGAACTGCACTGTCCTACTCCTCTCACATTTGTTTCCAAAGGGCCTTTTCTCAGCTCCTCATCCAACACTAGTACTAAATACAGTGGCCCCAGCACCCTCTCTTGTGAAAGCACTCCTGGCTGCTTCAGGCCCTACTTCTCATGTGGTTCTTCCACACCTTTTCCTCTCTCACTAGTGAAAAGGGTAGACAGTGATTAGAGAACTGAATCTGGATAACACTCCACATAAGCAGCAGCCTATAAAGCATAAAGTACTTTGTAGATACCTTATTTTGCATAGAATATTTTTTTGTCTTCTGATAATTATGTACAAGTTGCTTCACATAGTTACTAAATGGGTACTCACTTTTTCTATTTATCGAGCATTTTAAGAGTCACTTCCAGATTTAATTACATCAGTACTGGAGACTTTTGCTATCCCCCATGTTTACAATATGTAAGAATCAGTGACTTCGCATTCTCAGAATTCGAAGGTATCAAGAGAAGATACTCAGAAAGAATACCCATTTATTACAATTGAAAGAAATCAAATATTTCCAACCTATTTATGTTCAAAACTGAAAAGAACCCCAACACACAAGATGTCAGTCATTGTACTACAGCACAAAGACTGCATTTGGCATAATACTCCTATACAGAACTGAAGGAAGGTTATCACTGTAGCACATGTGGTACTTGTGGAGCCTTTATGCTTGGAACTGTGGTAAACAACATTTGTTTCATTTTTTAACTAGTTCAGAAATAGCAATAAGTAATTGTTTTTTAACAATAAAAAAAAAATTGTCACAAAGCTGTTATTGAGAAACCAAGAAGTCATATAAACAGCCTATTCCAGGCAGTTTCTTGATGTAAAGAATGCTGCTCCATTTTAAACTTCAATCAAAACAGAGCATCAGTCAGTCACAGCATATCAAAGATTTTTAAAGGATGAATTTAAACACATAGGCCATTAATTTGATAGAGACCTACATACCCATCTCCACACAGATGTGGAGACAAGCCACATAGAACATGAGAGGCTTGTTTTCAAACTAATAACTGACATGGTGTCCTTATACTGTAGAATACAAATTGCAACAAAACTCCACTCTTTTGATACCAGAATTGGCATCCTGCAGTTAATTTCCTCTAAAAGACCAAAAGTTGCTTTTGCTTCTCCACATGCTTTACAGGTTTCACTAGCACCACAAAAAGGGTCACAAATTCTTCCTTGTTTCACTGCTCTGCCAACTCAGCTGCACTGGTCCTCATGACAGCTGTCCTCTGCCCTCACTCTCTGACTGCCACCTCAACTTAGCCAATATCCAGAACCAACCTCTTTGCCCAGCCTCTTGGTAAACTAGATCTTTGGTGGGGCTTTAACCATCTACTTCAGCAGATGACTTCTACTTCTGCATTCTACTTTTATTTCAAAACTACCACTCCCCATTTCTCTTCTACATCATGTTGATAGCTCACTCTATGTATACCACATGTGACAGGCTTCTAACAGCTTGTCACAGTTGCAGCTAGCCTATAGCTGCCAAAT